GTTTATCTACTCAGCACCAAAAGCTAAGTTGCAGATGGTCAGAACCCGCGCGGCCCGGTCACCACGCCCGGAGGCCTGCGACGGAGTCTGCGCCCTAGATCAAAACGCACATATACCTTGGGATTTTCCTCCTTGTACTAGCAGTCCTTCATGGGGATTGTCACATAAGTAGTACTATGATCCCTAGTAAGGACCAGCATATATCATCATATACCCAAAAACAGATACCCAACTTTGCATCTACTTCTTTGCCACACACACTGCACTCATGCGAACCCGCGAGTTTCAGCGACCTGGGTTCCCGGTTCAGGGTTTACAGTTCAAGGGAAGAGGCTACGCAAAGATCTCCTACTTGGCACCTGGCCCGAAACCAAAAAGGTGACAAGCGATTCCTTAACAGCACCTACGTTCGAATTCAATACCGATTGCCTAGATTCCTTGCAAGGACCTTTAGAGCAACACCCCTAATCCCGAAAACTGTTTCGTTTCCTATTTTATCAATATACAAAGGCTCTAAATACGATATTTTTGATACCATCATGCGATTAGATTCTTATGTCAGAATATTTCATACCATATTCTTAATACTATAGCTTCTTAACATTGTTATACGATTATATTCTTCGACTTATGTCATAGTATCTTTAACCATAAACCCTGAACCCTGAACCCTAAACCCTAAACCCTAAACCCTAACTCCTAAACCCTAAGCCACGGCCTGCATGGCGGCGAGGATGGCGTCAGCTCCCGCCTCGCCAATGGCCTGACTTTGGCAGCGGGGAGCAGCGAACTAAGGTCTAGGGTTTAGGGTTTAGGGTTTAGGGTTTAGGGTTTAGGGTATAGGGTTTAGGGTTTAGGGTTTACGGTTTAGGGTTTAGGGTTTAGCGCTCTGAAACACACTGAAAAAACTTAGAAAACCCTTAGTGAACTCGATAAAAACTCTTAGAAACCCCTTAGAAAACTCTTGAAAATAGAAAACTCTTTGTTGCCCTTGGAAAACGCTTGGAAAACCCTTGGAAATTCTTAACAAGCCCTTAAACCCCCTTTAAGAACCCTCAACCCAAAGTAGAGTTTAGAGAGTTCGGGCTGCGAAAGCTGCCCCCCTAAACCCTAAACCCTAAACCCTAAACCCTAAACCCTAAACCCTAAACCCTAAACCCTAAACCCTAAACCCTAAACCCTAAACCCTAAACCCCCCCAACTCCGACCTTGTTGGCCGCCACGTCCTCCTCGAGCATCCGCTCCGCTGCGGACACGTAGGCCTCGTAGACCTGCTTGGAGGTTCATGGTACTTCCTAACCTACTAGAACTGTACTTACTAACCTTGGGGTTTAGGGTTTAGGGTTTAGGGTTTGGGGTTTAGGGTTTAGGGTTTAGGGTTTAGGGTTTAGGGTTTAGGGTTTAGGGTTTAGGGTTTAGGGTTTAGGGTTTGAACTGTACTTACAACCCACTTATAAGCCCCCTAAGTTCCCTAAGAGGGTTACAAGTACAGCAAAGATTGGTTCATAAGTACCAGGAACCTCCAAGTGCGCGGGACCAAAGCCGCCAGACAAGCCTACTCGAAGATAATTTGGCAGTCTACCTTGGGGACAAATGAACCCCAAAAGGGGTTTCTGGCTCATACTACCTTAATCGGATTTATAGTAATACCCCAAAAAGGGTTTCTGGCTCATACGACCTTCATCGGATATATAGTAGTATAGGGTCTATGACCCCAATTTTAGGGTTCATTTTGGTCCTCAGGACATAGGGCGTAGTCTGCTCTCAAAGCCCCGCCTTCGAGTTGCTGGACCCGGCGACTCCGCTGACAACCTGGCCCAGGCGTTCGTGCTGCCTCGTACTCAGGGACTCCAAAACCCCTTAATATCCCCTTAATTCGGGGAATATACCTGAAACCATACTAGGGGTTCCTATGAAAGTTTAGGGATGCTCCCTAATTAAGGGGTTTTTTGGAGTCTCCGGGTACTGCCCCATCAACGCGTCGGCACACCCGCCTCCTGAAGAGCCTCCATCGCGTTGAACAGATTGACGGCCGTGGGCCGGGAGGTCCTTAAGTACGACCTGAGATGCCCAAGCTACTAATTGCTTAAGAACCCCCCGAAAATTAAAAAAACAAAAAATATACTCCCCCTTGTAAGGATTAACATAGGGAATATTTGTATATTTACAGTTGCGAGACTTGCCTGAGGTCGCTGCATCTTCTGCCTGAGCCACGCAGCTGCATCCTGCAACCAGGCCGCTGAGGCATCGCAACGCACTCGGGACGCTCTTGCAAAGGTGGCTCTAGAGCATCTACCCTGAAGCCCCCAAAGCCTTCAACAAACTCTAAATATCTCTAAATGAACCCTAACCACTAAACCCGAAAACCCCCAAAGTCCTCAAAACTGAAGGGCCAACCCCCCCCCCCTCCTGGCCAAAAAAGAAACCCTACACCCTAAACCCTAAACCCTAAAACGCCCAGGTGCCTCTTCCGGAGGATCCTTGGCTCGCTTGGTGGCCTTGGAGAGCTGCTGGGAGCAGGCTTTAAATAGGGATCAGGGGCTTCGGTAGGGTGCTGAAGTTTCGGCAACAGTAGAAATCATCATAATGTTAGTACCAGTAAAAAAAAAGAGCAGCCACGGTAGTGCAACTAGGTAACTGGGTATACCTTTCAACCTCATAGGTAATAGAGGAACTCGTGATTAGTTCCAAACTGGTCCTCGGAGAGAAGACTTCAAACCCTAGCTCGTGCCCCCGCCCCTCTAAATCCTAAACCCTAAACCCGAAACCACAAAAGCCCCGAACCCTAAACCCCAAACCCTAAACCCTAAGCCCTAAACCCTAAACCCTAAACCCCAAACCCTAAACCCTAAACCAAACCTTGCCCCCCTCCTGCCTCGACAGCCAGACCCAGTGCAGACACCATGGCGATCAGCGGGGCACCGCGGACCTATCAGGGCTGTCACTCGGGTTTGGGGTTGGTGGGGGTTTAGGGTTTAGGGTTTAGGGTTTAGGGTTTAGGGTTTAGGGTTTAGGGTTTAGGGTTTAGGGTTTAGGGTTTAGGGTTTAGGGTTTAGGGTTTAGGGTTTAGGGTTTAGGGTTTAGGGACAGTGGTGTGCTCAGGGTTGTTGATCTGAAGATGTAGAGGGTTTAGGGTTTAGGGTTTAGGGAGCTCTGACTTCCTGGTAAAGCCTCGAACCTGCAACTCTGAAGCTGTGCTCCTATTCTCTCACCCGACGCAAACCCATCACATCCCGAGCAAGTTCACCTGTCCCCAAGCTGACGAAGCCTTTATGCTTGCTGCGGCAGCTAACCTGCGCTGAGCACAACCTTCAACCCTGCAGCACGTGGCATAGGTATTCTCGCATGCCCTAAACTAAGTGACTCAACCTTCAAGTTGTCCACGTGTCCCATGCCAGCTCTGCCTGCATTGAGCGCACGGCACTCCTTCAGACAGATGTTCATGGCTTCGGGTTTCAGTTTCCGGGATGCACGGTTTCTGGGCTTCAGGGGCTTCAGGGGCTTTTGGACTTCAGTCTGCTCAGGGATGTACGAGCATCGGGGCCTTTTCGTGCCTGCGGAGTGGCTTGGGCCAAGTTTTGCTGTGACTGCACGGCCAACACGAACGTCCTGATCCTGCTCTCTCCACAGCTTCGAACCCTAGCAATGCGCAACCTTCCGTTGCAACGCCCGTCGGCAGCCAAGCATAGCCAAGCGGCCACGCATCCTCCGCATTCCGGATGGGCACGTACTGCTTGCTTTGGGGTACCTGCATGGGTGTCAGGGCTTGCACCCTCTAAGCTTAAAGGCCCGAACCCTAATCTCGAGACCGCAACCAGCAAGAATGACGGCATGTTAAGCAACACCTTCATTTTTGTAGTGGCCGCAAAGGGCCCCGTTTTTCTCGTGGCCGTGGGCCACTCGCTCACTCTCAACTCTCTGCCGTCGTCCCAAAGCAACTTCCAAAAAGGGGAGCCCAGCCCAAGACCAAAGCCCCAAAACCCCTAAGCCGCAACAGAGCTCTGCATCCCCCACAGCTCAACAGAAGTCTCTCGACAAACCCCATTAACCGAACACAATCATGGGTGAGAACCCTAAACCCTAAACCCTAAACACTAAACCCTAAACCCTAAACCCCAAACCCTAAACCTAAACCCTCGAACGCTCGGCCTTCAGCTGATCCAAGACCTCCAGGCCGCCACTGCGCGAGTAGCGCAAGGACTGCAAAGTGCCCGCCATGGCGTCGAAGCCGCAAAAAACACAAAAAAAACACCGCTGAGACCCTTGGAACCCAAGGGTTTATAGGGCTTAGGGTTTAGGGTTTGGGGGTTTAGGGGTTTAGGGGTTAAGGGGTTTAGGGGTTTAGGGGTTTACAGGCCCTAGGCTCTGTGGGGCTTAGGGTCCCTGACCCCTTCAGCATCTGCCGAAGACCTAGTGCCCTTTCGGCCCTTCAAACCCTAAACCCTAACCCGGTTTTGGGGCGCTTTGAGGCCGCATCAACCGACCATTGGGAATGGTGCAGCCTGGCTTGAGCAGCTTTCAACAGAGGGAACAAGTTGCATGAGCGTGCATACGCTGTTCTCAAACCCTACGCCCTATAAACCCTTAAACCCTTAGGCACAAAAATATCCTTCTACCGCAGCCTCCAGGCTTCTCTTCCTCAATAGGGTTTAGGGTTTAGGGCTTTCTCCTGACTTGCTTTAGGAAGATACCCCGCAATAGCCATTCTGAGCACAGTGGTTCCGACGACTGGGGTCCCGCTGAGGGGATGCTACCATGTTTGCAGGTAGAGACGGAACCCCAACTGTTGGAAACTATGTACCTCTGCATCCCATTTGGAGAAGCCTTGAAAAACGCCCAAACAAATATCGCAAAAGCCCACCAAGAACGCAAGCCCCAAAGAGAGCTGAAGGCCCTAAGCAGCCCTTTACTACTAAACCCAAAACCCCAAAACCCTATAGTCCTAAACCCTAAACCCCAAACTCTAATCCTATAACCCTAAACCCTGATGAGAGCCACGCCCTGGGCAGAAGATGCGGTCTCGAGATTTCGACTCATAGAGTCGCCGGTGCAACCTCCCGTGTGCTTTGCTGGGATCCTGTAGGGTTTGGGATTTCGGGTTTAGGGTTTAGGGTTTAGGATTTGGGGTTTAGGGTTCGGGGTTTGGGGTTTAGGGCTTAGAGTTGAGAGGCGCTGCTTGTCCTTTCAGAACACCCGAAGCCCTGGGAAACCCTAAAACGCGCTAATGACTTCGGGTTGCAGATTCAGGTATGAGGGCACTGGGCTTTTAGGTTTGTGAGCTTTAGGGAAGAAGGGTTTTAGGGTTAAGTGTTCACCAGACTAGACGCTCCCGAACTCAGGTCAAGGGCATCCGCAGCACCAAGAGAACTCAGCTGCTGGCAGAATGCCCAAGCTTCTCGCTTCGTCTTCCCAGGCCGCGTAGTCCTCCAGCTACAGACAATTCTAAACCCTAACGGGTTTCCGAAACTAGCGATACCGGGGTTCAAAGCCAGACTCCTCGATGTCTGGCTCACCGAGGATGCATTGCACGGCCGGAAGGGCCTCGCCGGGCTAGAGGAGGCGCAGCGATGGTTTAGGGTTTAGGGTTTAGGGTTTAGGGTTTAGGGTTTAGGGTTTAGGGTTTAGGGTTTAGGGTTTAGGGTTTAGGGTTTAGGGTTTAGGGTTTAGGGTTTAGGGTTTAGGGTTTAGGGTTTAGGGTGATGTAACGAAGAACCCTGAGCCGAGAGCCCTCAACCACCCTCCAACAGCAGAAGCCCAACATGCTGAAAGCCACCTAAGTCGCACAAGATTCCTCAACCCTACAAGTAAAAACCCTACGAAACCCTACAAACCTCAAACCCGAGAAAGCCTCAACCCTACTAACCCCAAACCCTGTAAACCCCAAACCCTAAACCCCAAAACCTGAACCCTGAACCCTGAACCCTAAACCCTAAACCCTAAACCCTCAACCCTAAATCGAAACCCTAAACCCCAAACACCAGCAGTTTCAAGGTAACAGGCCTCCAGCTGCTGCATGCGGTCCTTGAGGTGCCTTCGCGCCTCCGGCCTGTGGCAGATCCCATTTGGCTGGTTTAGGGATTAGGGTTTAGGGTTTAGGGTTTAGGGTTTAGGGTTTAGGGTTTAGGGTTTAGGGTTTAGGGTTTAGGGTTTAGGACTATAGGGGTTGTGGGTTTAGGGTTTCGGGTTTAGGACTATAGGGGTTTAGGGTTTAGCATTTCGGTTTAGCGCTTAGGGTTTGGGACTGGCTTCTCTGGGTTGATAGAAGCGCTGCATAGCAATCTGGGAGCTCTCCTGAACCCCAAACCCTATATACCCTATAAACCCTAAAACCCAAAACCACAAAAAAAAACAAAACAAAACATGAACCCCCACGAGCGCTATAAACCGAGCTGACCTTTCAGGGCACAGGTTGGTTCCAGGGGCTTTGGCCCAGGCCTGCGCCGCGCCCGGGCATTCTCCAGGAAGGACTGTCCCAGGAGGTCCTCGACCTGCACCCCGCTTTGCGAGAAGCGCTTCCTGGGCGGTTTAGGGTTTAGGGTTTGGGGTATAGGGTTTGGGGTTTTAGGGTCTAGGGTTTTAGGGTTTAGGGTCTAGGGTTTAGGGTTGAGGGTTTAGGGTCTAGGGTTTAGGGTTTGGGGTTTTAGGGTTTAGGGTCTAGGGTTTCGGGTCTTGGGCGTAGGGTTTGGGCGCTAAGGGTCTTGGCGCACATGGGGGGTTGTTCGAAAGAAGACGCCCCTTGAAATAATGAAACCCCAATGTGAGAGCGGTATGCCCCCACATCCGTACCTGCCAGAACCTACCACACACTCAAATTTTTGCGACCAAAAGAACCCTAACAATGGGGTCATACATATATTTTTGTTTATATTTATATTTATAAATTTATTTATTGATTTATACGTATATTTATATACCCTACACGGTTCCTTTGGTCCCCAAAAAGACTCCCGACCCCAGAAATCGCTTGCAGAGCTTCATCTGCAGGATCATCGCGAAGGTCACCCGAAAGCGTGACGCCAGTGGCTCTGCCTGCGGGCAGAGAGCACGGCCACAGTTTAGGGTTTAGGGTTTAGGGTTCCACAGGGCCCCTCCAAGGCTCAGCCCAAGAGCCAAGAAGCCTAAACCTGAACCCTGTGGGGGACGGCAGGAGCGAAAGCTAGGTGCAGTTGCTCGAGAAGCCACAGGAGAACGGCGTCAACCGAACATGGAGTGCCCCGCCCCAAGAGTATCCCCAGAACATCCCTGGAGTGCCCAGGCGCATCCCACAAAACCTGCAGTGCCCAACCTCAGAGTATCCCCCGAGAATCCTTAAAGTTTACCTTAAAGTGCCCAGCCAAGAGCACCCCCTTTCGTGATGTACATAAACCTGAATGGTCCAAGTGGGTGGCAACATGCGCCTAATTCGTGGGCATTTGCCTAATTCGCCAGCATTCTTTCCAAACTTCGTGGGCGGCCCTCCCTAGAGTTTTAGGGGACTGAGGGTTCAGGGTCTAGGGTCTAGGGTTTAAGGTTCATTAAAATGACAGTATACCAGGGTAGCGAGCTTGACCAGTGAATGCTCGGACTTGAGATGCTGAACCCTAAGCCCTAAAACCTCACCATCCCTAACCGCAGGCCCGGAGCCACCCTCGAAGAACTCGCGGACCCTGACACCGAAATTTCACGGAGATTAGCAGGAGGTCCGGCCTTGCTGGTCATCATGCGAGTGATCTGTTTCTGGTCGGGCACTTCGTCGCCACAAAGCAGGAAGACGTGGCCCTCGGAGTCTAAGCCTCAGGGTTCGTTTCAGCTTCGTTTCAGGTGCACAGGGGGAACGCTTGCTTGAACAAGAATGCACTTTCCGAAGCTTCTGGAGCTTTCAGGTTTTCTCCCCAAGAGCCCTTCCCAGCCTCTTCTGCCGGCCCTTCCGGCCATCTGGGTGTATTCCGACGGCAGCAAAGCTCGCCGCTGAGCGCCGTCGTGCTTGACCTCGAAAAGGCCCTTTTTGGAGGGTTTAGGGCTTAGGGCTTAGGGTTTAGACGCTTGGGGCCGCTTGAGGGGTAGATTTTGCTTGCTTTCTCATCGTGCTCTTCTCCAGGGCCATGGGCTTGACCTGTGTTGTTCCTGCAAGTGCTACCAAAAACTCTCAAAATGGCAGGGATTGCTGCCCGCAAAGCACATTCTGAAATTCCGCGCCTAAGAAGCCCTGCGGGTAAAACCCTGCTCAAGAAGGAACAAGTCCGATAGCGTGCGCTGCTCCCAACTTTGCGGGTTCTCTTTGTCCCAAAGAACTGCGCGCACACTCTCTCTAGGGCATATATTAAGGGCCCATACTTCGGATCCCTGTAAACAAGGGAAAGGGACCATACTAAGGGCCCACGGTTCAAACCTTCGACTCTCGACAAGCGGCCCAGGCTGTGAAGATCACGCTTCGCGCCGGCATATTCACTCCCATCGCGAAGGTCTCGGTCGCAATGAGGATCTTCCTGGCAGTGTCCCAGTCCCAGCGGCAGATGCTGCGTGCGGCGTCACGCGCGGCGTGGGTTTAGGGTTGAGGGTTTCGGGTCTAGGGTTTCAAGTTTGGGGTTTAGGGTTTGGGGTTCAGGGCGTCTACCACTGCCGCCCAACTGCAAACGAACTGAGAACAGGCCGGGATTGCACAAGGGAACGGGAGAACAGCAACTCCACCGCCTGAGTCACATGGAGGAGCTCAATCTACCCGCCGACCCTGGCCCCTCCAACGACCCAGCGAGATTTCACAAGGTGGCCATTGGAGGATTTCTGCTCCGAAACCCACAAGAAGGGTTAACGATGTACTGGCATGACAATGCAGCAATAGAACGGCAATTACTCATACAAATGACATATGTATATACATATACATATATATATATATATATATATATGGGTGGTTGTCAAAATTATGATCCCTTTTGGGGTACCCTAAATATTAGGTGCCGTATTATCATAGGGATCCAAAAAGGGACCATGATTTTGACAACCACCCATATATCTACATATATATATATCTATCTATCTACATATATAATATATAAAGCATGAAAACCGAAACATAAAATAGCAAAAAATAGTGTAGCGATCTCAGATAAGGTCTCTCCATCTACGAACCTGTGCGCCGAACCTCCTTCACCACGGGCAGCAACCTTGGCCCGGCTCGCAAGGTCGAGGGTTTAGGGTTTAGGGTTTAGGGTTTAGGGTTTAGGGTTTAGGGTTTAGGGTTTAGGGTTTAGGGTTTAGGGTTTAGGGTTTAGGGTTTAGGGTTTAGGGTTTAGGGTTTAGGGCTAGGATTCAGGGGCCTTTACGGGTTCTCAGGGGCCTAGGGCTTCGGATGCAGCATCAGGGGTTTAGGGTTTGGGGTTCAGCTTTCAGGAACTTTGGGCTTTATACCGTCAGCAGCATGAAGTACGAGAGAGCGATTCCTGTCGTGGACGGGAATCTACATGGAACCAAGATCCAGGACTAGATCCACAAGCAGCCTCGGATTTTGGAGTGGCTTTGGGAAGGGTTTGAAGACTGCAGCCACGCCGCCCCCCATGGTGGATCCCCACCCCACGCCCCGCAAGCTCGGCGACCTAGGTGCGGCAGAAGGGGCTTAGGGTTTAGGGGTTTGGGGTCTAGGGTTTGGGGTTTGGGGTTTAGGGTTTAGGGCTAGAATCTTTCGGGAAAAGGCTGGCCTTCCGGGTATCCAGCACCTAAACCACTAAAGCCTGCAAGCAAAAGAATACACAAGTTTCCCCCATCAACGCTAAGTGTTTAGGACTGGGGGGGGGGGGGGCTTTTGGAAGAATTGTGGGGTTTAGGGTTTAGGGTTTAGGGTTTAGGGTTTAGGGTTTAAGGCTTACGGTTTAGGGCTTAGGGTTTAGGGCTTTTTGGGGTGTAGGACGGTTCAGGGCTGCTCGGGTCAATAAAGGCAGTGGCCTGGTTCCACAAACAACCTCCAGTCTCATCGGGCGAGGCTTTCTCCCAATGCAATTTAGGGTTTAGGGTTTAGGGTTTAGGGTTAGTGTCCAGGAACATTGGTCGGGAAATCCTGTGTACCGCGAGGGTCAGAAGGGGATTTGCATACATCCTAAACTTAACACCCACCTTGAATAATCGTTGATATATATATATATATATATATATATCTCCTTGTTTCAAAGCACTGTAAAAATTGCTGGACGGCGCACGACTTCAACTTGCATCATGCAATCAACTATATGTTCATTGACATCACAAGCCGGCATCGCAGCTTGTCTCCTGTGCATCATGACGAGAACCACCCTAGTCGCGTACTGCGGAACGAACTGAAGGATTGTGTATCGGCATTTGTGAACACCTGCAGCAGCTGCCAGACCTTCAGCCCCTCCCACGTCATCAAGCTTAAGTGCCCTCAAGGCCCTGAAGACCCTGAAGGCCCTAAAGGCCCGAAAGGCCAAAAAGACCCTAAAGGCCCTGAAGGCCCTGAAGGCCCTGAAGGCCCTAAAGGCCCGAAAGGCCAAAAAGACCCTAAAGGCCCTGAAGGCCCTGAAGGCCCTAAAGGCCAAAAAGACCCTGAAGGCCCTGAAGGCCCTAAAGGCCTGAAGGCCATGAAGGCCCTGAACCCCAAAGAGCCATCCCGTCACTGGGAGGCTGGCGCGCCTCACCTGGGGAAGCTGCTGGTCTGCCTGCCACCAGGGGGTTGTGCTGCAACCGCCCTACCCTAAACCCACCCGGGTTTAGGGTTTAGGGTTTAGGGTTTAGGGCTTAAGGTTTAGGGTTTAGGGTGTAGGGTGTAGGGTTTAGGGTTTAGGGTTTAGGGTTTAGGGTTTAGCGAGAGCCCCCCCTTTTTTTTTTGGGGGGGGGGGGGGGGGGGGGAAGTTTCCGAGGCTTCGGGTTCCCTCTGCCTCTGTGAGGCGCTCGAAGGCCTGCTTCAAGAAGGTGTGCACCTCCACTCTTGGAGGTTGATGGGCACTTACAACCCCACTTATAAATCTACTTATACTTAGGGGACTTAGAGGGTTTATAAGTACGGTTCTAACTGGGGTGATAAGTACCCTGAACCTCCAAGCACAGCTACACAGTATTCGGAGCCTTCAATCATCTTCGCGTGGCTTTTGTCCGAGACCCAAGCGAATGTCGCAGTAAGGCACTGTTGGCCGGTCTCCGCGCATCCCTAAACCCTAGACTCCCCCCAACCCCCCAAACCCGAGACCCCCCAAATCCTAAACATCCCGTAACATCCCTCTAGGCCGCAAACCCTAAACCCGACGTGGGCTACTTGTCGGTTACCGTAGAGGCCCTACAACCCTTTAAACCCTAAAACCCTATAAACCGTAGAAACACCGCAAACAACCCTAACCCTATAAACCCTATAAACCCATAAACCCTCAACCCTAAACCCGAAACCCTAAACCCTACACCTGAATAAACGGTATAAAACCCTCTAACACCAACAGAATCCCAAAAAGATGACTCTCAGAGACGTCCATCTTCCAGTCTGGAGGCCTTCGCGGAGGTCAGAGGCGCGCAGGACTGGGTTTAGGGTTTAGGGTTTAGGGTTTCGGGTTTCGGGTTGCGGGTTTCGGGTTTCGGGTTTAGGGTTTAGCGTTTACGGTTCAGGGTTTGGGGTTTGTGGGGCGTAATGCTTCCAGGATATAAAGTATGTGCTTTGACAGGTCCAGGGCAGTTGCTCCAGCACCGAACGAAGGATTTCCCCACCCCCTTCCTCCTAGACCTCACCAGTTTTAGGGCGCTCCTGGGAGGGTGCTCCCATGATTACCTTCACCGCATGCCAAGCTGGTAGCATCCGAACCTGAAAGTTGCCAGCTGCAAGTCAACATGCCCTTGGACCCCCTCATTGGACCCTCGAACCCTCGCGTAGACTCGCCATTGCTCAACTTTTTCTGGGTTACCAGGCGGGCGATAGCAATGGTCTGTCAGCCATGGTTCAGCTGTCAGAAGCCATCACTGCAGAAAGCTTGTCTAAGTTGTTTAATTGGATGACGCAAGGTGGTGAGCTCGCACATCACACACACTTCCCCACTCGGTTCTCGCTCATTCGTATCAGCTCAATTGCAGCAACATGGGCTACCTGATGACAAGACGTGCGCGATGCGGCTTCACTTCAAGCAGGTACGCAACAGTTCTCCACGCTTGCTTCTTCACAAGCGAGGTCAGCAAGTGATACTCACTTCAGTCTTCCCATGATAGCATGCAGTACGAAATTCATGACGTCCCCATGTCGGTTAGGGGATGTCTTCTTACACGTAAACGAAGCGGATCGTGCTCAAATGCACAGTACTCATGCCATCGGCTGGTGGAAGATCAGGTAGAGGCCTGCACAGAAGGCAAACGCCTCATCGTAGATATCCCTTCCGATGTCCTTGCAACCCATAGAGACTTGAATAGACCGTCATATACATATATATATATATATATGTATACATATATATATATACATATAGTTATATTATTCATTTATATAAGCAGAAAGCCAACAAAAACGAACTTGCCTGCTACAACGCCTAAAACCCTCACCACACAATAATCCTGAACTGCCTTAACCAGATGCCCTGGACCGGATCACATAACCAAAAAGAATCAAAACCTACAGCCTCCCAACAAAAAATGCCAACAAAAAACAAGCCTCCCGACAGACGGCCATAGCCAAACCCCAGAAACCATAAACCCCTCAAGGCCCCCTCAAAACAACCCAAACCCTGAACCCTCAACTCTAAAACCTAAACCCCAAATCCCCAAAGCCCCCTGCGCCTTGGGCGCTGGTGGCCCTTGCGGTGGTCGCGCGATGCGCTTGGCCAAGGGCGAGGCTTTTGGTTGGTCCGGTCCCATGCCTTGTCCTGCGCGGAGGGATGGCTTTAAAGGTTGTATGACCATGTTCTTGGGTTTAGGGTGTAGGGTGTAGGGTGTAGGGTTTAGGGTTTAGGGTTTAGGGTTTAGGGTTTAGGGCTTGTCGGACTGCCACATGTTCTTGATCTCACCGTGGTGAGTGCGGTTGCCTTGCAACTCCAAGGCCCTAAACCCCCTAAACCCCTAAACCCCTAAACCCCTAAACCCCTAAACCCCTAAACCCCTAAACCCCTAAACCCCTAAACCCCTAAACCCCTAAACCCCTAACCCCCTAACCCCCTAAACCCCTAAACCCCTAAACCCCTAAACCCCTAAACCCCTAAACCCCTAAACCCCTAAACCCCTAAACCCCTAAACCCCTAAACCCCTAAACCCCCCTGCGCCGGATCCCGGCCTGCTGGTCCCAGCTGCATGGGGTCCGACGTCATGCCGCCCAGGGGCCCACGCGCCGAGAGGGGCCTTGCAGGGGCGGGATGAGGCTTTAGGGGTTAAGGGTTTACCCTAAACCAAAAAAGCCCTTGAAACCCCTAAAAACCCCTAAAACCCTAAAAACCCAAAAAAAACCAAAGAAAACCCAAAAAAACCGTAAGCCCTGTAACCCTGTAGGCCCTAAACCTCAGGGCCTTTTGGTTGAGAGTTGGGTTCTAGGAGTCTAGGCTTCAAGCCCCGACCAAAACCTGACGACCCTCAACCCTAAACCCTAAACTCTAAACCCTAAACCCTAAACCCTAGTCGTTTCTGCAAGGGCACCCGCTCATGGGATTGCCATCCAGGCCGGGCAAGCCATAGCCTTGGCGGGGCTTAGGGCTTCAGGTTTTGCAGGGTCTTGTGTTTCCTATAGGACTATAGGGGTTTAGGGTGTAGGGTGTAGGGTTTTGGGTGTTTCGGTTTAGGCTGTGGGGTGGGGGCGGGGAGGGGGGGAAGGCTTGGGGGCTGCGGGTTTGGGGTTTGGGGTCTAGAGTTACGGTGCAGGGGTTGGAGTTCCAGTAAACATTCGGGTCATACGACAGGGGCTTTGGCCTGCCACCCTGCCTTGGGAGCTTTCAACATTCAGGGCCCTCAGCATATGAGATCCACATGTAGAAGCCCCGAGACGCACTTGACCTGCCGGTTCTAATTGGGGTCCCTTTGCAGTCCCTTAGAGGGTCTGATGGGACAAACCCTAAACCCTAAACCCTACCCTTAACTGAGGCCAGACTGAGTCCCGCACCAGGGGGCCCCGGAAGCGGTTGACCCGTGTGCGGATCCTCCAGGACATATTTGCATGGGCTACAAGTGCATTCTCCATATGCGGATGATCTTTGGTGGCCTGACTCCACTACCCCTTCATCGCAGACAGTTAACTTAGCTTGTTTAATCGGATTCCACCCCCTCCCCCCCCCCTCCCCCACCACAAAAACAAATAGTGAACAAAAAAGATCTGGATTATTCTGGATTTCAGAAGCGGAAGTAGTCCTTCAAAGTCAGGGCCAACTGCAGGGGCTGCTGCGCACGCTTGTCCACCACCTCCTGAAGATAGCGGAGTGGTTGTCAGGGTTTAGAGACCAGGGCCATGGAAGCACATGTCTAGCAACAATGGAACACCAGGTCTCCTTCCAAAGCTCGCGCTCATGGCGAACGCGGTCCTACGCCATTGCCGCAGACCGCGTGAGGGTTCGGGGGAATTCGGGGGAATCCATTCCGGGGGGTGATCTGTCAAGCCTAAACCCGAAACCCGAAACCCTAGACCCTAAACCCTAAACCCTACCCGGGTTGCTCAGCATGGGGGGAGAGACTGCACTCCGCACAGCAATAGATGTCCAGCTGGCTCTCGATGTGCTGCTGCGAGATCTGCAGGAGGCGCAGCACGGAATGGTCGGCCTTTCGGGGGCGTATGGGGGTTTCCGAAATTCCGAAAATAGGGGTACCCTATTTGAGGGTCCCCTTTAAAGGGGATTCTAACTCTATTTGGGGTATGAAAATAGTACCTCTATTTTATATAGCTGCGCCAGCGCACGTGCTGCCCTGGCTCAAGAGATCGCTTGCGGCGCCTTCTTTCCCAGGAGGTCCAGGATGCTTCGATATTTCTGCGAGGAGATCTGACGCCAAGTTTTGTCAACCTTGGTTTGCGAGGCCATGTTCCATCTCAGAGCATCTTCTTCGGCACCAAACAGAGTTACTACTGCCTACCTACAGTCAAGAAGCCCGGCTCACCAGGTTTTGAGCGCAGTCCTCCCAATTCAGGAGCTCCACGTCAACATCGAGCTCTTCCTTGCCGACACCAGCTGGGTAAATCGCTCTTCAATCCGACCCCGACCGCACGGCCTCCGTGCCATCGTTCATCCGAGCCCCTGGGAACACACCAACCACCTGGCAGCCCGGGTGCTACAATGCATTAAGGAATGTCGCTGCCTCGCACAGGGTACAAGAGCCAGCAATAAGAGGACTTTGCCTGGCAGAGCTTGACCGTGCCGCGGGTGAGCTTCGTGACGTTCTCCTGAGGTGGGGTTACTGGAGGCAGTACGAGGGTCTGCTCTGACTTCCCAGACACAGTTTCGATCACAGCTGCACAGTTTGCAGCACATGATGGTTCACGTGTCCTTCGCTAAAGTCTTGAAGATATTCTTATATTTTTTATGTATTCATTCATTCATTCATTCATTCATTCATTCATTCATTCATTCATTCATTCATTCATTCATTTCATTCATTCATTCATTCATTCATTCATTATTCATTCATTCATTCCTTCCTTCCTTCCTTCATTCATTCATTCATTCATTCATTCATTTACTTTATTTATTTACTTATCTATTTTTCATGTATATCATATATCATATATCACAGATCATATATCATATATCATATATCATATGTCATATATCATATGTCATATACAATCGGTATGTGTAACCGATATTATCTAATCTCACAAGTATGTATGTGTATGTATGTATATGGTATGCAGGACACGACCATGATGATTTCAAGTCGCCTCCAAGCTCTGGAAGTTTTTCTCGTAGACCTTCTGGTCGAGCTCCTGACGTGAAAAGCTCCATAGCCCTTGTGTAGAAGCTTTAGGGTTTAGGGTTTAGGCTTT